AGGGTGTGTTAACACCGTGGACAGAGACGCAGCCACTGTGGGGTAAATTAACCTGGCCTGCACCAAGGGCCCGAGCGCATGTTCAGTTGTTGCGGGATCGTGCTGCCATCTGGGGTAGTTTGATGAAGACCTAATAATGGGCCACACGCTGTCTTCACTGCTGACCCTGTGGCTGTGTGAGTTTCCTCTTCTCTGAGTAACAGGCGTGGTTTCCAGCGCAGCTCACGGGCTTCCTGTCTCCCATGCCCGTAGCTGCACCACCCGGCCATGTCGCCATGGTCATTTCTTCCCAGCAGTGTGTCCTGCAGAGACGGGACTGCTGTCTTGGGACGCGTCCCCTTGGAACGTGACCGAGGGTTTCTCATTTTGGTTTTGGTTGATATTACTGTCAGTAGTCAGGTGAAGCTGGTGGCCAGCACATGGGCAGTGTGACTCTAGGGTGGCAGCTTTCATGGCGTTCAGGTGTCCAGGCCCTCCTCGCTCTGTCTGTGGGTACCATTGCCCTGGCCCGGACCGGGCTCGCATCCCGTCCTTCCCTCTGCCTGGCACTGGGCGTCCTTCACACATGCCTCTGTTGTGGCAGGCCATTTATTGCCACCTGATGTTTTATTTATGACCTGTGTCCTCTGTTCTAGAGACTTCATTCAGTTTTTCTCCATGATTCTGTTGCTAGAAGGCAGGAGAACAGAATATAAAACCATGGGCTTTTAAAGTCAGACAGGTCCAACCATGGGCTTTAGAGGCTTGGAGCACAGGTCTTTAACAAATCTGCAAGTTCAGTTTTCTCATCATAAAAGGTAGGTGAACCCTCTGCCTTGGAGATTACGGGGAAACAGCACAGCGCAAAAATCTGTTCAAAGCCTTTAGACCACAATTTGGCTTCAGTAAACCTCGCGTCACCGCTAGCACCTCTAGTGCTGTTGGCATTGTTACTGAAATCTCTTTGGTATTCCACTGCTGTGAACCCTTACCTTGAAAAATCAATGGCCAGCTCAAAGAGGTTTTCAGATCAACCTTCCTAGACTCTTTATAGAAATGATCAAAAATGAACTTGTTGACTGTTAAGTTCAGCTGTGATAGACTTTAGGGTGTGACTTTAGCGTGCCCAAAGGGCAAGGGTGAGAAGGGATAGATCACTATCTTTGCAAAAACAATGGATTTTGGCAAAGCAGGGGGAAAGATGGTGTACCTTAGAGATAAGGATCATCTACTCATACAGTAAATTGCAGATACTGTACACCTTGATGGTCTTTCAGACACATTACATAGTCTTTTATTCTGCATGCAACTACCAACCAAGAAAATCTCCACAGTTGCAGGTGGCGATTTCCTGTCCCCTCCCATTCAGTGCACTGCAAGCGTGACCACTGTGCTGACGCTTGTCACTGTTGATATTTCCTGGTTTTTGCCATCCTTGTGTATTTCTTGGTTTTCCTCTTTGTGACTTTGACAGGAGTGTCATGGTGTGGTGGTTAGTGCATCACTTTTGACCTCTGCGCTCAGCCATCCCAGGCATGCGATAGCATCTGCATTGGCACGCGGCAGCCGTTTAGCTTCCTGCTGCTCTGCTGTGTCAGGTGAAGGCCACAGTCTGTGCACTCCAGTGTCGAGAGACTGCTGTTGCTTCTAGTGGGGGAGTTTAGTGCTAAAACTGTGGTAAAGATACCCTTTGGGGGACACTAGAACTTGGTCCGGGATTCATACAGTGTGTACATGACTTTCGAGGAGGGACATTTCTGCCCCCCATTTTGACTAGGGAAGAAGGTGAACCTGGAGACTGCAGACGTGGGCAGTGTTGCATGTATTGTTGGGAAGATGCTTGATTAAACTTAAGGAGAAGCCCAGAACATGTAATCTGGTGGTGAGAAGAGCAGGTTAGAGAAGAACACACCTCCGATCAGTGGACGGGATGTTCGTTGTCTCAGAAGAAGTAAAGGTGAATTCTGTGACTTAAAAATTAATCAGCCAGAAATCGGTGGCTGCACTGTCACCAGAGTCTGAGGCTCCTCTGTCCATCCAGCAGGGGTCAGAGGCGTGGCCCTCGGGACTCCTGCTGGGGACAGAAACCATGCTGAGTTAGTTTAGAGGGAAATGAGAACACGTGCTGAGAAATGCAGACAGAAAACTAAGTTCAGCTGAGTGGGCGCTCAGGCACCTGTGCTGGGCGAAGGCGGCTAAGAAGCTAACAGACTCACCCGGATGTGAACGAGTGAAGACAGGATGATCTGCACCCACCCGCGCTGTGTGCGTGGTTTTAGAAGAACGTTCAGATGGATTTTCCATTCATGGGAAGACCGTCCTTAAGCATTAGGTCCTATACAGCACCTCATGATGTGAGGATTTGCAGCTACTCATGAGAGGAAATGCTGCCCTGCGTTAGTTAGAATTTGTTGAAGACCAGCAACTCTCTGCCTAGAGGAATCAGCATTTTGGTGGAATAAAGGTAGCTGGGACAGGAAATGTTGGGAGTCTTTCTGACGGGCTGTGGGTTTCCAGTCTGGAGGCTTTCCTGAGGAGCCATGGAATATACATTCTCCTGTGTAGAGGCTTCTCCTAGGTGCTGTGGGCTTCTAGTTTATTGTTGATGTAAATAACACCTCCATGAGGAACCGTAGGATCCAGTTTTTCTTAGTCCGTGTACAGTTATGCAGGCTGTCTGGCACCAAATGCCCAGTCAGTGTATGGTAGTTGTTACTATTGTTCCTTGGCCGCTTCCTACCCCGCCTCCGTGTGCATACATATGACTGTGCTCAGCTCTAAGAAGTGGGGGCGGTGAAGTTGTCCAATTGGGCAACAAGGAGAACAACTGCGATCATGCAGAAAGATTATAGGAACTTCAAAGTATAGTTTTGGAAAATCTCTTTAAATCTAACCAATGTACAATGGAAAACCCCTAAAGAGCCAATCTAATTATTCAATTAAATGGAACCGTTCTGCTGACTTTTACTACAGAAGGCAAGCGTAATTTAGAAAATGGGGCATTTTAATTCTCTTTTGTTTTCCAATTAGCACAGTTTCTCTAATGGGGAGTGCTCGGGCTGCCTGGCGTCCTGGTCCTCGGAGCATGTGTGCTCTACCTGATGTCCGTCTCACCTGCTGGCCCAGAGCCTTGCTTCCTGCAGGACTCTCGGTGCTGCCCACTGCGCTGGCTGCCCGGGCGGGGGAGCCCCACGCCCCACTTCGCTAGCGGATAATTAGGGTGTGGGAGGAAGCAGCCTCACTTTCCTGCTGACGCCAGCTCACCCAGCAGACCGCATGGTTTACTCTCAGCCGGGAGTGGTGACGAGAATGCTAAGAACACTGATTTTAATTGGTCGGCGTGATCGGGGCTGAGCGCCGCTGCTTCACGGTCCTGTGCTTTACATGACTTCTGCCACCAGCCGTCAGCTTGTTATGTGTGACAGATACCCCACTTGCTCTTGATGATTACTTAAACAAGTTTCAGCCTTTTCTGTTTGCTGTTTATTTCATCTGCCCTGATGTTTTTTAAAGACTGTAAAGGCTGACATTTTCACATTGCAGGGAAGGTACATCAGAGGGCCCCGCAGCCTGGGAGAGTGGCAGGGATTTCTTTCTTCCTTCTCTTGAACCGCGTCCTGTGCTGCTGTGTGTCAGCTTGGAAGCAGCAGGCCCGTGGGCAGCGGGCAGTGTGCACTGGCGGTGGGGTGGTGGGCAGTGCTGTCATTAGTGCGTGACACACGGCGTGGTTTCTCCTGCCTCCGTTGGGGTGATTCTTCGGAATGCTGGAAAATGTTTGATTTGTGACCCTGACATGAACAGGGTTGCAGAAACACAGAGGGTGGTAGAAAGAGTGAGCCATGGTTTTGGAGAGTGAACTCAGTCTTTTAGAAGGTCTTGGGAGGATTCAGGAAGCCGGATGGGCTGAGCACAGGACACGTGGTGGGGTCCCGGCGGCACCTCTTCCTGGGGGCCGGGAGTTCTGCAGCTTGAAGGGCGAGCAGCGGCCGGCCGGCTTCCTCGTTAGGGTCGTTCGTGGTCCCGCCCATCATGTCCTTGTCACACAGGGTTCCCACTTCCTCCCAGTGCCTTCCTTTATCCAGACTGCAGGAGTCACTAAGTGAATATTAGAATAGGACTCGGTTCCATGCCAGGAGGTGGCGGCAGGATGTGATGGTGCAGTCAGCCTTGCCTCACTAGGTGGTTTTTGTTTTTGTTTTTGTGTTTGTTTTGATGAGAAGGAAAAAAGAAAATGTACTTAAATTACAACTGGCAACTCTAACCACGAATAAACAGAAATTATGGAGGTCTGCAAAAATAGAGCATTAGTTTTAGTGGTACTTAGAGTGTCCATCTGAGTATGAGAGGTATTTAAAACTCATGGTTTCAGAAACAATCACATCTTTAACTACTGTGAAGATTTTTGCATTTTTTAAACCTTGTTTAAAGATCAGAGTCAGGCTAAAGGAAAGCAAGCAGGTCCTGAGTTTACAAAGGGTTCTTTTTCTGGTTCTGGCTGGTGGCACGGTTGTCTTCTCCTGGGAGCTGCTCTGAGCCGGAGGTGGCCAGCAGTTGGGTCCCTCTGGCCTGGAGCCAGTGAGCCGGGTGGGGCCAGGGGGGCCCCCGCAGAGCCCACAGGAGTTCCCACGGCCTTGTCCTGACAGAGCGGGCCGGTCTGTGGCCCAACAGCCTGCTCTGCCTTTGTCTGCACATGGCCCTCGGAAGTGACGAGAGTGAGTGATGCCCTTTGGTGCAGCCCAGGAGAAGAGTCGTGTCCCGTCCCATGTCTGTCCTTTGACTTCAGAGAGGTGGCAGAGCCTGGTGTGGTTCACAGTGCGGAACCCGGAGCCAGATGAGCTCGGGTGGCTGGTGACACCACCTCTGGGCCCAAGAATCTGCATGCCTACAGCCGGGACCCCCAGAAAGCCCTGGTTTGAAGCTGAGAGCCCAGCTCCCAGAGCAGCCATGGTGTCACTGCAGGGCTGAAGACATGTGCGAGGTAAACTGAGTGACATGTTGGTCGTGTCCCCTTCTGTCCCCAGGTCCTCCACCGGCAACAGTCCCAGCCCACCAAGGAGAGCTCCCCACCTCGGGAAGAGGCGCCCCCCGCGCCCCCTCCAGCTGATGACAGCTGTGCCAAAAAGCCCCGCTCGCGCACCAAGATCTCCCTGGAGGCCCTGGGCATCCTGCAGAGTTTCATCCACGACGTGGGCCTGTACCCAGACCAGGAGGCCATCCACACGCTGTCGGCGCAGCTGGACCTGCCCAAGCACACCATCATCAAGTTCTTCCAGAACCAGCGCTACCATGTCAAGCACCACGGCAAACTCAAGGAGCACCTGGGCTCCGCCGTGGACGTGGCTGAGTACAAGGACGAGGAGCTGCTCACCGAGTCGGAGGAGAACGACAGCGAGGAGGGCCCCGAGGAGGTGTACCGGGTGGAGGCCGAGGAGGACAGCGGCGACAGGGCCAAGGCCGCGCCCGCCGAGGGCGACCAGAGATGATGCGGCCGCGGCAGCGTCCCCGCGTCCTCTCCCTTCCTCACAGACACCCTCTCGGCTTGTTGCATTCTCGTCCTTTTGTGTCTGTCTGGTTTCCCTTGCCCGTCACGACATTCCTCTGTTGCACAGGACATGCCTGGAGACTGAGTCCGGCACTTTAGCTCGGACAGCACCTTGGCAGAGACTTCCGCGGCCCAGCCCAGCCCGAGCCCGCAGGGTGCAGTGGCCCTGCCCACCAGCGGTGGGGGGCTCGGGCTCAGGCTCGGGCTGCAGGGCACGCGCGTGTGCATATGTACATGTGTGTGCGTGTATAGAGCTCTGCTCCCCGCGTGGATGCAGACCGCGGCCTGCGAGAACAGGCCACGAGATGAGCTCCACGGAAAAGACTTGGCCACCTGTTAAAACCACTTCCCACGAGTCGCTTTGGCTTTTTGATGACCTGCGGCCTGCTCTCAGGGTGGGGTGACTTATTTTTTGAACGCCTATTTATTTTTTGTGTTTGTCCCTGATGTTTTTTTTAATTCAGTGGCTTCCTATCTGGCAGCTCCATGGGTAATTTTTAGAGGTATGTATTTAACAAGATAAATCAACACTGCCAAAAAAAAAAGGAATAAAGAAGAAGGCGAGTGAAAACAAATCAGGGCAAATTAAAATGCTACAAGTCAGATTACTCACTCGCAAAGACACAGTTCAGTGCACAGTTCAGTGACTGCGCAGCGGACTGGCTGGCTGGCTGGCTGGCCGTCCGTCCGTCCGTCCATCCATCCCTCGTTGGTCCTCGCCCTGGTGAGCAGATCTGCATCCTGGAGGCCAGGCGAGGAAAAGCCAGCTCCGTGCAGCAGCTGCCTGCCTGGTGGCAGCCCGAATTCATGCCAGGAGCCACAGCTCACGGGGAATCACTTCCCTGTGGTGGCTTCAGATCTTAAACTATTAAGCCTGCTCATTTAAAAGTTGTTCTTCTTGGTTGTTGCTGTTTTTGTTTTTGTTTTCGTTTTACTAGAAAATAGTTCAGTGTATGTTAAGTTAGGGAAGAAGCTGCCGCCCAGCCCGAGGGGCTCCCTCTCCCCACCTGGCTCTTATTCCCAAGCTCGGACTCCTCCTCGTCACAGGCGATGACCCCTGGTCACCTGCACCGTTCGCCCGCCCCGCTGCAGCCCCAGCCCAGCCGCTGCCAGCCCTGCGTGCTGGCCTCCGGCAGCAGTCAGTGAAGCAGCCGCGGCAGGGTCACCTGCGTGGCGCGGAAGGAAAGTGTCCCGCTGTCCACGTGTGGAGCCCGGGGCTGCCCTGTCCTTGCCCTTCACGGAGGCAGGAGGGCACCGCGCCCAGGTGCCTGACTCTGCCTCCCGTGTTCGCGGCCCCACACGGGTGGAGTTTTTTTCGGTTGTGTCTCATGCAACTTTGTCAAAGACCTCATGCAATATCACTTTGAAAGTTACTTTCTGTTTACCACACAAGCATTGTAATATAACTGTTAATACTATTTATATATTTGAAAGGTATAAAAGGTAGGAGTTAAAAAACGTCTATGTGTAGATGTTAACTCAGAACTTACACTCTACAGGGAGAAGACACGTTGCAATACAAGCTAACTCTAGCTGCTCAGTGACCTCTGGAGTTTTTAAGGGACATTTTCCTGTACTGTTTCCAATAACGACGTTTCGACCTTACCTTGCCATGAGCGTCACATGTCCGCGGAGGGGCGGCGGCGGGGAAGTCGCTCCTTCCTGTCTGTCCGTGCTGCAGCTTTGCCCGAGGGCCGAGCTCGCTGCCCGAGCCCCAGTTACCCCCCGCTCGTCTTCTCGGCCGTCGCCAAGGTCACTCTGCACACACCCTAGGAACCGGCTCTGCCAAGCTCTCGCCAGGTGGCTCCTTGCTCCATGACATCCGCATTGGGGATCTTTTACACTTCAACCAAAAATTTATTAGGTATTTTTCAATGCTAAGTCTTGCCTTTTATGTTTTAAGTTCACTGCCGAGTTTGCAGTGGTTCTAAGTGAATCTGTGGGCATTTTAGCCTGTGGTCTTGCCAGATCTTTGCGAATTACAATGCATATATGTCTATTTATTCAATATCTGTCATATAATATCTATTTGGAAAAAGAAACTTTCTCTTGTAGTGCCTCTTGACAAAGCACAATTTCCCGCCTTTTTTTTGTGAAATGAAAAGAAAAAAACAAATTGTGTTTTATTGCAGTATCAACAATGTGAATAAGGATTAACATATTGTAAATGTTCTTTTTTCCATGTAAATCAACTATCTTTGTTATCACTAAGTGATAATTAATTTTTAACTTATGTGCATTGTTAGGCTGTTAGAATTTTTTGGTTGTTAAAATAAAACGCATTCAATAAATCTGACTGTTCGGTGCTCTGTTCCTGGGTGTCGCCTTTGCCCCACCCCCCTCCTCAGGCTGTGCTCAGGGGTCTGCGCCTCGCTGTGGGGCCACCCGTGGTCCCCCTGAGATGCCAGGATGTGTGGGCACGTGTGCACCCAGAGCACACTCACACCCTGAGCTGGCAGCGGGGGAGCCATGTCCCCCTCGGCTCTGCCGCCCACAGACGGAACTCCAATGGGTAAAGATGTATTTGTGGGCTCCCTGCTTTATTTTTCTAGTGACTGTTTTCTGTTTATAATTAAAAAGCCACAAATGACTGCGTGTCAGGAAACTTTTGGAGCACATATGTCCATGGTTAATGGACATAATAAAAGTCTTTTCTATTTAGAGCCGGGGTCCCACAATGTGTGCATGGAAGAATGCCGGGAGGATTGATGGATCCGAGAAATGTGCGAAAATGATGTTTTAGAAAGTGCTACAGTGGAAAAAATTACTCAGAACTCAAGTGAGAGGGAAAGAGCAAGTGGCTCGCGACAGAAGCAGCAAAGAGGAAGTATAGATTAGAAAGTGGTTGTGCTGTCTCACGGCAGCGGGCTATTTGCCTGCTCTCCCTTTCCGCCTTCCCGCGCTTGGTGGAACCATCCTTGCCTTTTCTCCGTGTGAGGAGAGAGCCCGCGCAGCTGTGTTGGAGCATCTTGGGGATTGGCAAGAGGGGAGCGTGTGGGCCTTTGTGGGAAGCAGGACAGTGCAGGCGTCGGGGGACCCCCGGCCTGGCTCGGTGTTGGAGGCTGACGCGGGAGGCTGGCTCCGTCCCCAGAGCCCAAGTGGGAGCGTGAGGGGCGGGGCAGGCCAGCGGGTGTTGTGTGTGAGTCCCAGCCGCGGGATGGGCCAGGGCAGGAAGCACTGGTGAGACACGCCCTTCGTTCCAGCCCGGAAGGTCCCAGAGCCCCTCACCCGGGGAGATCTGTCTACCCCACACAGAGGATGTGTCCCCCCATTCCTCCCACAGGGCAGTCACGCAGCAGGCGGTGGGTGTTTACTGGGCATGCTGTACCCCAGGCCTGAGCGATGCTGAGCCCACTGGTCATGGCGAGGGGAGAAGACCAGTGTAATCCCAGCGGACGGCAGTGGTGATCAGGAAGGCTGCCAGGGTGTCCACCGACACTCGCTTTCTGGGATGCTGAGGCAGGAGAATCACAAGCTCAACCCCAGTGTGACCAAATTAGGCGCTGGAAATGAGAGCTACCGAGGGACTTGGGGTGTAACTGAGAAAGTCCTGGACTCCAGTAAAACACACTCCCACACACAGAGTCAGCCTACAGCTTTGGGGTACAGTGTCAGCATTGGAAAGGCATGGAGTCCTTGTGCCCAGTGTGGGGTGGGGGGCAGCTGGGCGGGATGGGACACGCCCTGTGGGGTGGGGTGGCATTGTTCCCTCAGGATCCTGTCTGTGCCCAGTACCGAGGCAGAGATGAAGGAAGACAGATGGGTGGGAGGTGGGTGTTGGGCGGGTCGCAGATTCGATCTCACCTGGAAATGACAGAGCCGGAGATGAAAGCCAGAGTGTGTGACTTCAGGGCTCTCACCGTGTCCTGGAACGGCCCACAGGCTGTGCAAGCAGAGCTTCCGTGATGGCCCATGATGGTTGACATGTGACTGCTCTCACATATGGTTTTTAATTTTGTCTTTTTAGACAGGGTTTTGTCTGCAGTGCAGGCTGGCCCTGAGCTGACTTTGTAGCCCAAGCTGGCCTCAGACTTAGAGCAGACCTCCTGCCTTAGCCTCTCCAGTGATGGAATTGCAGCCACCACACCGACTAACATACATTTTTCCAGTCTTCTCCAACTACAATTTCTGATGAGTTTGTCTCAAAGGAAAAATAAAATCTAGCTTGTAAAGGCACCACTGTTAAGGCTTAGATGTGAAATGCCCCCCGAATTCCATGTGTTCGGAGTGGATTGTGGGGCACTGTGCTCATGGCTGAACACGCCATTAGGTGGGGCTGGTTGGAGGAGGGCACTGTGGCTGATCTGGATGGCTGTGTTCTTAGCCCCTCCTTCTTCTGTTTTCCGGCCACCATCACATGAGCAGCTGTCCTCTGCCAGGCCCCTCTGCTATGTTCTGTCCCTTGGAGCCAGCCGGCTATGGACTGAACCCTCTGAAATCTTGAGCCAAAATAACCTCTCTTCCTTTATGTTTTGTGTCTTGGGTTTTGTGTCTCCACAATCAGACTAGTACATTCTGCTAGTATAACTGTCCCAGAAGAATCTAGAAGTAGCTTCTTTGGGGATATTTAAAAGGAAAAATGGAGAAATAATTCCAGTTGGAGAAATAATTACAAAAATATTCCATTAGAGCTGTAGGAAGTAGTACAGAGCAATGATTAATTAAAGGGATTGGCATAACTTATTCACTACCCATTAAGGAGTGTAGCCCCATTTCTACAGACCACGTGGGTGGAGAGGGACCTGGCAGCTTGGTGGCTGAGGACTGCACTGAGCAGGCGGGGGAGCCTCGAGACGGGGAGTGAGAAATCTTCACAACTTGGATGTGGAAAGAGGCTTTTCTAGTGTGCGGCTTGACACAGGTCTTGCAGATCTTTGGTTTCCTTATGCAGAAAATGGGCTAACAGTGTCTGAATCTCAGAATTTCCAGGATCAAAAACCTTGCAGAAGATCTAGAATAATTCTCGGCTTCCTTTCTCTCATCCCTTCTTGGGGGAAAAAAGAAAGCACGAAATAATCAAATATTACGTATAGCTGATCTAAAAAGAATTCCGATAAATTTTAGAATAGAATAAAACTTGATGCTTAATTTTAAAGTGTAATTTAGAATCTTTTGTGCCCAGTTCCACAGCCACGCCATGCGCTCTGGGCCCTGTTCTGTCCAGAGCTCTCTGCCCTCCATCCTCCTCCCAGCCCTAAATGCTCAGGGTGCCCCAGGTTTCCTGCCTCGCTCCTGTTGTCCCCAAATCCACACTCCCCCCAGAATGGGGACATCAGAAGCCCCCAGTGCCAGTGACGCTCCCAGTTCTGTCTCCACCGGACCTCCTCATGACCCAGCCGGGGAGTGCCCCACCCCCTAGCACCGGTCTCGGGTGACAGCCTTAATGTGCCCCCAAGTGACCCCTCCATCATGTCCCACCCCTGTTGCACTCCAGAGTGAGCCTAAAGTACCAGACCCCCATGTTCTTTCCACGCATGGCACCCTGGGGACGGGGCGATATCGGGCCCTGCCTTTGCGATAGATCCAGTCCTGCAACCAGCCACCACTACTGCTGCCACCCATGTGGCTGTCACCTCCTGCTCGGTGCAGCCGCAGTCCTGTGCCCAAGCCACCTGCTCTCCCAGGTCGCCCTGGCTGGCTGAACCCAAGTCCTCGCCGCGTCCTGCATGGCCCAGGTCCTTCACTATCCCTGGAAGCCTATGCCTGCTCCCTCTGACTGTCCCCAGATGCTGTGTGGCCCACTCTAGGTGCCCTCTGCACCTGCCCTTGAGCTCCTTGTTCCCTTGGTGATAGCTGATCTGGCTGCTGCACCCTGTAGCCCTGGATCCTACCCTGGTTTTATTTATTTTTTTTTTTTTGCTAGTGAACTGCCTGATTTACCTATTGGTCATGTTTTATTCGTGGTCAGCCCCCTCCCCCTAAGGAACACACCAGGAGAGGACACAGTGCCTCCTTCGAACCCTCTACAGCCTGACAGGCCTCCAGCTGCCTAGCAGGAATGAGCCCCTTCACCTGGGCACCCAGCCCAGAGCCTCAGTGGGAACACTGGGCTGTGGGCCGCAGCAGGGGACAGAGACCTGAGCGGGTCCCCTCCTGGGCTTGCCTGTCTACCCTCGGTGGTATGGTTCTTCTGTCTACCACTCTGCTAATTTCTGGTGCACCCGGGGTCAGTTCTGGTTCCCTGCGCTGTCCCCAGCTCTGGGAGGATCGATTGTCTCAGGCTGTAGCTGCGGCTCCCAGATTCACATTCAAGCTGAACTTTGACTGCTGAACACCCTCCATGCCCAGGTTCTTCTGACCAGTCACCTCTGCGAAGCCTGCATACATGGAGCTGGATGCTTTGTCCCTGGGAGGTAGCCCTGGCACGCCTGGGTATGGGTCCTGCTGTCCCACAGCATCACACAGCCCTGGCTGCCGGGTGGGAATGACATTGGTAAACTGAGGCAGAATGAAAGGCAGAGGGCTGCAGGTCAGCCTCCATAGCCAGGCCGGGGAACTTACAAAGAGGAACAAGTCTGACTCCGCCCTGGGATCCAGGGTGAGCAGCTCCACGGTGAGGTGGCTCCGCAGGGAGAGGGCGGAAAGGGGGGAACGGGGAGTGCAGGAGGGAGCTTCAATGCATTCTCGGGGTACACCTGACACCTCTGAACACTGTCACCATGGCAACTCTACTCCAGTGCAGTTCTGGGGAACAGATCAGACACAGCACACAGAGTAGCCAGGAGGCCAGAGGGCTCTGGAAGCTTATTGTCTATTAATTTACTCTAATTGGTTGTTTTTAAATTTTCTTTTATGTTTAAATTTTTAAATCTATAAGTAGTCTGTGTTGACAGACGCAGTGACCAGTGTCCTCCGGGAGCAGTGCATGGACCTGGGCAGCCTTCATACCCACATCTCTCACTGACTTTAGTATTTGCTAGCTAACAAACCAAAATGCAAGACACCTTCTCCACGAGGGGTCTGTTGCGCAAACTGCCGAGATCCGTGCTGGTAACCACAGACCTGAGTCTAACTCAGCAGAAAACAAGAATTCAGGAGAGCAGAGAGAACCCGCGGCTCTGAGGTGTGTGGGAGTCAGAATTGGGCGGGGTGCAGGGAGCAAGCCCTGCAGCTGCACCACTGCCCAAGAGGGGGTGTCACCCACCCCTGGGACTGAGGATGACTGGCAGCAGCTGCCGACTCCTAGCAGCACAATGTAGTGGTTGGGGTGCAAACAGAGAGATGGGGTGTCGACTTTCTATCCTGGCCTTCTGTCATTTTCCTGGATCTCCGCCTCCACATCTGTAAGGAG